GTTTATATCAGAACATGTTTGTCAAACTCTAACAATAGACAAAGGATTTTGCAGAATTAAATCACATTTGTAGCACTCCTTTCCACACTGCTAAAAATACCATCTTTTTTTGTGCATTTGTGATGAATGTCTTAAAATTTGTAAAGTGAATCAACAGAAGCACCTTAAATACATAAATATTTTTATGCTAGAAAAAGTCATGTATTTAAGATCTTTTATTTGACAAGTCAAAAAATAAGGGAATTTTTCTTAGAATATAATTTTAAAATGTTAATCTTTTAGTTCTGCTTTGCAGAGATCACTTGTACCGCACACTGGATATCCTATTATATTTGGTTGCTATTTAATCCTGATTTATCCAGACACTATCTGCCCTATGGGACATACTTAAACTTCCCAGCCATCACACACTGCAGCAATGGGAAAATACCAGCAACACTACCCATGTTGCTGAAAGAGGGTATCCTCTCCAGTTAAATGATACTGCCCCMGTTATCCTAATTGAAGTTTATGAAAAAAAAATACAGACTCTACAATATTTCATAATAAACATTTACTTTGGGTAATATAAAAGCTAAGTTAAAATTTCATTTAAGTGGACACTTTGACCCAAAATCTGAAGTAAACCCTCCAATGAATCATGTTCTACTATAATTTCCCACAATTAAACTCATAAAATATGATAAAGGAAACACATTATGCGATACATTTGCACCTATATGCTCATTTCCTAATACAAAATCACTTAATCCCTATTTTATCCTTAGTGAAATACAGCAGSTCAAAAAGGCTGAAGGACTACTAATCAGTTAGAGGTTTACGACTGTTCTGCAGTTTTCTGCARCCGTACAATATGCAAATCCCTCAGCTATGAATCACGACAGATCTAAGAATATATCCTCTTACAAAAGCACCTACCTCAACTTCTCATTTTATGCAGCTTATAGAAAAATTTCACATGTGACCCAGTTATGTCACAACCATTTTCAAATTGCAATTCTCGGAAAAGTAACTCTATCAAAAAAAAAAAAAAAAAAGAGCACCTTCCTACTCATCAAACCTACTCCCCATAGATAGCTRGGATAAGATCTGCTGACTTGGTTGCAAAAATAAAGACTTTACTATTAAAATTTCTACTAACACTGCAAACTTGAGGAGAACAGGGAGGCAGGAGGGAGGTGAATTCTTTTGTGCCTTCAGTGGAGTTTCTCTAGAGCACAGCAGAGCTTTCAGAGTCCCGGGGACATCATTTGGGACTTTGGGAACGTCGAAGTTAGAGCAAAGGCATATTTTTGCCTGCAGAAATATTTTAACTACCAGATACATATGGTAAAGAATGAATTTAGCTTCTTTGTTAGTGATAAAACCAATCTGGCCATTGGAAACAAGCTGCCTTTTTTTGTGAAGAACAAATCCGTTTTATATCGAAGTCACCAGGACTCTCCAGAAGCAATTTTCCATTCAAAAACTGGCTATTATTCATCTTTCTCCAACTCCTGGGCTTGTTTACTTGTTTGTCTTTTCAATAGGAAAGCTGGATAATTAGCCAACCCCCTTCTTCTACGACTTGGCTCTTTGAGTTTTATCTTGCTGCTGCTAGCTCACTTCCAGGACCTCAGTTTGATTTTATCACTCTGCCAAACCCCAAACAAAGCAAAACAAAACCCTCTACTGCCAAAGCTAAGACTCTGGGGTCAGGCTTCCAAAAATCCTGAAACTGGCTGAAACTTAGGAAAACTTCCAACTCAAATGTGGTTTTTATGTGTGTGTTTGTGTGTACACAGGAAGCAGAAGACAACAACTAACACTTGGCAAGCAAACCGTCCCCAAAGGCATCCTTGGCATCTCAAATGTCTATGAGCAAAACGCGGACATCAAGCACTGCCTTCTTGAAAGGGTCTGTACTTGCCTCTAACTTGTTSTAGAGTGAAAGGTTTAACAGAAAATTCATGTTAATAGAATCCTGAAGTTCTGCATTGCCAGAAGGTTGATCTCAGGTTATCCTCACTCAGCTGTCAGAGATGAAACCAGCATTAACATAACCAATACAGATACATATCCAGCTCACCACACACTCAATTCCACGGCCTACCCTCTCCCAGCGACTTGGGCAGCTCCCCTAGATCAACCTCTCCACRGCAAACCTCCTGTGCAGCCCGTCTCCCTGAGATGAACACGGCCATCAAACAATGTGGGGGCACAGGCTGCGACTGCACCATGTTTTGGGCCCAGCTTAAAACCTTCTTGGCAGCACCAGAGCCAGGCAGACCCAACTGCCCCACCAGGCAGCTCCCGCAGGTCGAGGGCCTCCCTGAGCCCCTCGAGGCAACCGTGGAACAGCCCAGCTCTACCACGCAGCCCAGATTAGATATTTTTCAGGAGTTACCATCTCATAAAAAAGGTAGCAGAGCCCTGGAACAGGCTGCCCAGGGAGGTTGTGGAGTCTCCTTCTCTGGAGGTCTTCAAAACCTGCCTGGATGCCGCCCTGTGCCCCGTGCTCTGGGTGTCCCTGCTGGAGCACGAAGTTTGGACTAGATGATCTCTAGAGGTCCCTTCCCACCTTAACCATTCTGTGACTCTGTGAAACCTCTCATTCAAGGTCAAGACACAACCATGATTCTTGTTGCTCGCTTACTCCCTGCCACATTCAAACTGCCTGGAGGCAACAGCCCCAGGTCAATTTTAGTTCTCATTGCCTTGTATTAGTTACACAAGCAATGCAGTAGAGCCCTGTGGGTCCATTTACACTTTTAGGCATCTTAAGTCGTTCATTCCTAATTCATTCAGTCACTCATGGTCAAACGATGCCATTAGAGTGGAATTTTAACTCTAGATTTTCAGATTTTGTGGTTTTTTTTTTTTTTACACTTGTTTTAAACATCTGAGAGTTCATTTGTTGTGGGTTTTTTTTCTGGAACAAAGAAGAGTACAGAAAAGAAGCTCTGAATTAGTGCAGTTATTCTAACTCCTGCTTTATAAATGTCCATTTCACATTTTAATTAAGGTTTAAAATCATCCAGACTTTTGGGTTTTCTTTGCCCTTTGGAAGAGGTGCTGGTCAACATGACTTCTTCAAAATACTTATTTAAATTGCACTTTACTATATCAATAATAAAGAAATCTCAGCAACAGGTGCCTACTACTTAGTATGCCCATCAATTATTACCAGTGCTATTAATATCATGTTAATTTATCATCATTATTAATAATTACGTTATTGCCATTATTGCCTTTTTCTTCTCCATCCTTTCCTCTTTTCTTGTCATTCTTACAAGTATCGTAGACGTCTTTGGTTTGTGTTTTTATAGCTCCTATGGAGCTCCATAATGGAGCTCTAGTCCATAACCAAGCTGGACAAGTTCCTGCACTTAGGTGAAGAAATTCATCCTGGACCCTCTTATTCTTGCTAAAACAAAAACGTGTGTGTTGTGTGAAATATTATACCATTATGGTAAAGCTGAACACATGATAAGCAGTAACCGTATAAATATTGTCCTATTACCTTTATTTTATGTCTTAACRCTCAACTATGAGAGGTAAATAGAACCCAGGACCCTTAGAAATAACAAACCTACATTCAGAACATTTTGATGTTGGCAAGAATTTTATGCTGTACAAAATAAACCACAATAGAAAATGGCTGATTGTAATTGGCTTGATAAATTTAATTTCATCYGTTTTAATGAACAATCTGCCCCCTGGAGTGGTTATGTGCCATCTAAGGCAAAAATAATTAGATCTTTTTGGATGAAAGCATTCACTTAACTTAGAGAAATACCCATCAAATTTGATGTCATTAATTATATCTTGGAACCTAGYGTTAACTTGCAGGCTAACACAGAATTACGATGCAAGGAGCATCATATCAAACACATTCAGAATTTTATAGTTACAGAGTTGTAGTGTAAGAAGTCTAAGTTCTTCCTCCCAGGCACCACAACCTGTTTTTCCCGTGAGGAGGACAAGCAGGGGATGACATTTTAAAAGGTCTTCAGCTCTGCTCCTTAACAAGAAAGCCTGAGCAGTGCCTGTCACCACTGCACTGTGAGGACCGAGTGCTACCAGTGACTTTCACAGCCAAACTGGGCAAGCATAACTTTCTTAAAGCACCACGTGGAAATCAATTAACAGATAAATTTGGACAGATCTCTTTTTATTAAAGACAAGAATAAGGGTTTTTTTTATTTGTACATTTACCTGTCAAAAGCTACATACATATATAAAACATATACACAGAGCAGATCGTGAGTCAGAGATTACGGTGTCTGAAATAACACACTCAAGGACAGCAGCTCTACAATCCTACACCTGGGGGTCCCCAGGGAACCATCCCCTTCTCCMGGCACGAGCCCAACGCGGCGCAGGCAGCCGAGCCGCCTCAGCTGCGCGCCGCCGGGCGCCAACCGTCCCGGCCCCGCCACAGGCAGAGGGCGACGCGCACCCAACGGCCGCGCCCAACGGCCCAAGGGCCACGGCCACGCCCACCCCCCGCCGCAGCGACCCGCGCCACAGGCGTCACCGCCCCCCCCCCAGCACACCCCACGTGACTTCCGGAGCGGGACGAGCCAGGGGGCGCTCACCCAGCCCCTCGGGGCCAACGGCTGCCTAAGGCGGAAGTTCCCCCGTACAAACAGCGCCCTGCAAAGTCCCCCGCTCGCTCGCTCGCCCGTGCCGCCCCCGCTCCCCGCCGTCCCCGCGCCGGGAGTCCCGGGCTCCGCTTCCCGCCGCGGGCGCCTGTGTATGGCGCCACTCCGGGCCGCTTTCCCGTCGACCCGCGCTCGGCGTGACGGGCTACAGCGCGCGCCCCGCGCGGGACGTTCCACCCGCGCCGCAGGGGGGAGATTGCGAAGAGCGCCCGGGCCAYCAGCGGCCGCTCTCTGAGCGCGCCCCGTGCGCCGCCCCCGCGCGCATGGTTCCCTCCGGTCACGTGGGCGGGCGGAGGGCGCGCATGCGCGGTGGCGCTGGCGCGCGGCTCACGTGTTGCTGCGCGCGCGGCGGTCATGGCGGCGCTGCTGAGGTGCGCGGGGCGCCTGCGGGCGCTGTGCCCGCGCCCCCTGCCCCCCGCGCGCGCCCCCGCGCCCGCCAGGTGAGACCCGGCGCCCGCGCGCCCGGCCGCGGCGGCCGTTGGGGCCGTTGGGCCGTCGGGCCGTCCCCTCCCGTCGGCTCCCTCGGAGCGGGGCCCTGCGCGGCCTCTCGCCCCCTGTGCGCAGGGTGATGTCGGGGGGCAGGAGCGGGGAGCGCAGCGGCTGCCGCGGCGCCGCGGGCGGGCGGAGCGGCCCGGCCCGGCCCGGCCCTGCCGCCCCTTTGACCCGTGTGGAAACTGCCCGCGCGCTTCCCTTCGCCCTGAAGGTCAAGGGAGGAGCGCGCTCCCAGGGGCTGTAGTTAGAGTTGGGACAGGCTCGGGGTGCGGRGAGGGCTCTGCAGGAAGCTCGAAGCTCTGCTGCTTAGGAAGAGTGCATTTGTTCCGTCAAACTAGTCATTRAAGTAGAAAGCAGCGGGAAAGTGTGGAGTGATGATATCACGTGTGTTTCTCCATGGTTCTGCAGGGCCTGAGGAGTCCTACAGGACCTAGTGTGACTGCACCAAAGCGTTGCAGCGTCGTCTTTTCAGTTTGGGGAGAGCTGAGCTTTCTCTCTAGTGGTGGTTGAATGCACCTTTAGCATACGGAGAGTCTTTATTTTTGTCTTGAGCCTTTACTTCTTGTATGTGCAAGTGCATAAAGGCTAAACCCTGAATATCTATCACAACCTGGGCTTCTGATACATTTTTTTTTTAGCTTTTTTTTTTGTCTACAGATTTTTCTAAAACATGATGATCCTTTTAGGTAGGTTGTTTTTTCCTGCAATTACTTTTGTCAGAGATCTTTTTCCTTGTAAAGTTAAGTATATCAAAGGTTTTGAATCATATTTACTTTTCACTTTATATAGCTAGGATGCTGTTAGAGCTATATGAGGACTTGTGCAAATTTCCTTTTAATGTTCTCAAGCAAGCACCTGCATAAGAGAAGGTTTGTTTTCTGATCATGATCCKTGATGAGGTTAGATTTTAATTTCCAACATGTTGTATTGTCTATAAAATTGAGAATGCTTTAGCTTACGTTTATGGAAAATGATTTACTATAGTTATATTTACACTTATTAATTAAAATGATGTAAATTTAAAGCAGATAATTATAATTTGTAAATTACAGCTGTGTAGTTAAAGAAGAGTTTAGGTTCTTTTYCTCCAAGGCTATGAACATTTCCTTAATTTCTTTCAGTATTAGTAAAAAGAGCAAGTCTAGGTAGGTAGGAAAGGGATATGGTGTTTTTACTGCATGGTGCTGTCACATTACAAAATATTCTGGTAGCAGCTGTCRATTTGTGTTAGATATGAAGCAAAAGAGCACAGATAGCTGAGAATCCCAGAATTTGTTCACTGTACCCACATCCATCTTCATTCACTCATCTTACAGTTAAAATAGGAATAAAACTTGCTCAGTGCCAAAGGGTCAGCATGTAGGCATTGGGTCAACTTCAGCAACCAAGCTTGAAATTCATCTTGGTAAAAAGGTCGTATTGTTGACTTTTTTGCATAAGATATAATAATCTAGGATATCTTATTACCTTGAGGTTCCAGAAGCATCCTTATTACCATCACCAAAAGGTAGAGTATGCAAAAGATGATTGGACCACCTGTTACACCTGCAAAGTTCTAGAAATGCTCAGGACATGTTGCTYATCTGCTCAGAGCCAATACAATATTCAGTGGGTGGAAAGGCAGCTGCGAAGGTGAATAAGGTTTTAAGTTATGCTCAAGTCTTAGACTCAAGTAAGTACTTTGAAGTGCATCTGCAACTGTCATAGGGAAAAAAATGGTCTTAGATTTTAGATTTTCTTCTCTCTTGCCCTCTCCTGGACAGCAGTTCCTGCCTCGTTGAATAACAAAAGGAAACTTAAGCATGACATCCCATAGCCATCCAAAGTGGATTTCAAATAGTTCAGGTTCGACATAGGGTTAAGAGACTACCATAGCCTAAGTATAAACTGTACTTCTGCTTTACAGTTTTAAAACAGCGTATGTGTTGACAACAGTCCAAATCCTAACATTGGTAGGTATTTACAATGGTGCAGGAACAGATCAATTCAAATCCCAAGCRGGTGCCTGTTGCAAAACCTGAACATTAGGGTGTGAGGTGGGCAAATGCTCGGGTGTCTTGAAACTCAGTCTGTCCTATGAAATGTGGTTACTTGTTTATCCATGATATTAAACTGTTGGGCAGGATCCAGGCATACACTGTCTTTAGAATGGATAGCTACAAATAACTTTTTCTGTTGCTGCTAGTTTTGGTTTGTGTGTGTTYTAGAGCAGCAATGTAAGATATTTGGTCATTTTTTAAAAGTTAAGAGGAGCAACTGAAGTTTCATAGAGGCACATCAGAGTCTTTGGTATGGCTAAGCAGTTATGCAAAACATCAAAACAGTAATTGCATCATTGCTGCTGTGAACTAGTGAGACCTTATAGCCTGCAGCCAGATTGTTTGTGTAGATGGTAAAATCACCTTAAGGTGGTTGACTTTCTTCTTAGATCTTTCTTAGATGAGCGTTGGTTCCCTGGATGTTTCTCTGCAACTTTTTCTGTACTGTTTTGCCTGACGCTGGAAAGCAAGAGAGCTGCAGGAGAACGGGGAGAAGTGAGAGTGCATGCCATGACTGCAGGACCRCTTTGGGACCTGTGGATAAGAGTTTGGATTAAGGGATAGATTGATACCAGGTGTGAAGGTGGGGGGCGGAATTAAAKTGATGTTGGATGTACAAACAGAATGCAACATTTAACTGCTCTTGTCAAGATATTTTTTTCCCAGCAATTGCCAGTCTCAACAGTTAACTTTCCTTTTGTGACTGAGCCAAGCTTGAGCACAACAGGACAGAAAGGATGGGCTGGCTTAAGGTAGTTTCCCTGCAAGGAGTGCTGCAGCTCTGGGTCGATGGAATAGTTTGTGGGAATTTCCCTCCTTTCATTTTGTACATAGTTAACCTAAGCTGCTTCAGAAAATAGTTGAAAACAGTGCRTGGGTAGCCACCTTCACTGGGATGGTGAGGACCATTTTATAGCAAAAAACACAGACCAAATCTAAGGCACCTTTTCCATTTCATATGTCTAYGTCTAGTATTAAATGCCATGAAATATGCACTGAGCTGTACTAAAAGCTTTTCATACCTTGCACTYGGAATAAACCGGATGTGTCATGACAAACCAATACAACAAACTTCAGATCTGCAACAACATACTTTAGCTCTGCAATGATTTCTGCATTAGGAAATACTCTYTGGAACTTTCTTTATAGAAAGTTCACAAAATGAAAGGATACTTAAATTTGTGATAGTAGCTGACAGTTGAGAGTGCTATAACAAGCCATGTGTGTCCATAGAAGATTTGGAATTAAGGTCTGCCTGTCTTTGAGGGGCTTTAATTTATGTTCTCCAGGTCTCAGGGGTTGATATTACAATTGGACTATGGAGCATAAAATACGCTGAGCAGGAAGATCAAGTTAACTCCTTGTAGGCAAGTCTCTCCTATATTTCTGGCCTTGATGCCACTTCTTAATTCTGACATTCTCACCTCTGTGTTTGGATATTGATTTTCATAATTGCAGAGAAAAGAGCATCTCCTCTAAAATGGCAAAATGCTCTATAGTGAAAACTGCTCCTTCTGCAAGATTTGCATCATAATCTTTGTTCTCTCTAATTCGGAGGAGATACCTGCAGGTGAAATTGAGTGCCATATGCCACACTTTCTGAAAGGTCCTTGTAAAGTCTGTTGGTGAATTGTAGCATGTTTCTACAGGACAGGGAGTATGTTGAGATAAGGAGAATACTTTGTTAAAGAATCTAGTTCTATATCTGTGAATTTGATTTGAGCCATGGGAAGTCCTGTGTTAAAAACACATGATTTGTGGTTGTTTGTGTGATGCAAGTTATATAAATTATCAGCAAATAAGTTGCTTCTGGTTGCTCATTGTCATACACAGGAACCTGTCAGAAGTGGATGGAAGTTCAAAATTAAATGCTTAGTTGTTTTATAATAGCAAAATGCTAAAAGTGATCTGCATTAAACTCAGAAGAGCCATTTAGTAAAACTAATATTGGTAATACTGGAGAAACTTATTGTCATAATAAAATTCCTTGACCTCCTATGACCTTCTGACCAAAGTAAAAGGTCTCTAAATAGAGACTTTTCTTGAAAGTCACCTTTGTTACTAAGTTGAGGGTTTTGTACWTTGGAATTACAAAAGTATAGTGGGTTAACCTTTCCTGTGTGGGCAGGACCTACATTTTAGATCCTCATGAATGTAGAGAGAAAGCTGAGAATCAGAAGGCTACTTTTTATCCTGCAGTTGTAGGAGAGAGTTCACTTTGTAGTGAAAGACCAATGCAGTTGGCTTTAGCCTTAATCTGTCCTTTTGAGCTTCTTTCTGTGCGGGTACAAAGGAACACAGTTTTGACCRACAGTGAAGAGAAATGACACAGTTCAGGAAAGAATCAGATGGTAATGAAATAGATCTGAAGTTTGTTGTGTGTCTTGTGGTTGCCAGGGGCATTTCACATGGATGAGACCTTAAAATGCAGTTTAAGGATAATAACCAAAGTAAATACCTATCGCAGCATTTGGAGTAGTACTCCAGCACTTCATGTTATGTAGCATTGCATCTGATTTTGAAGAATGTCAATTAAAATAATTGGRRAAAAAAAAGTATTTACATTGTGAGGATATCTAATTTATCCTGTAGTACTGTGGTAAGATCAGCCATTTTAAGGTCATGCCTGTTTGATTTTTTTCCTAGTCTTAATTATAATCTTCCAAACAAGAAAGTTCCGATTTGACCAAGTATCTTGTTCCAATATTTCATGCATCATTCAGTTACTTCCACCAACTGTAATCTCTTACTTAACTCTTCCATGTTGTTCTGCTTTYAGCCACATATTCCTTAGTTCTTTCTCTGGGCCATCCTGGTGTTTGCTGGCCATGAGGAGATGATTGCCTTCTCTAACCTGATGGCACAGGAGCTGTGTTGCTGCTTTGGCTTTTCCTCTGCACCACGCCGTGGCACACGGGCGCCRATGTCTGTGTCTGCCAGGCGATGTTCATGGGAGCCTGCAGCACGTGCTGCCCGGCTCTGGGCTGCCCCCGCGCTCTCCCTCCACCAGCCCCTCTGCACAAGGTCTCCCCACGGCTGGGGAARGCACCCAGCAGCGGTGAGAAGCTGCAGGCACCTGGGTACTGGTGCCTGCCCTCCTCTCCTCTGGCTGTGCAGCCAACAAAACGTGCAGCTGGTACCCTGTGGGGCTTGTGGAGCCTCCGTGGTGGGAGGGGGTGTGAAATCTGCTCACACTTCTGTGAGTGTGGAGCCCTTAGAAACTTAGATACAGAGCTCTGGACTAGAAAGATGGTGAGGAGGGAATTTTAGGAACTGCTGAATCTTAACTTCATTGTCCAGTATTTGCTACCTTCTTTGTATGGAAATGGATTGTCTTAGTTTATGCGCATACACCTGAGACTTCAAGAAGTGCATGTACACTTTTTGAAAATGATACTTTGTCCTGCACAGGCTCTCATCTTTCTAGTATACACAAATACCATGTTTTTTATTCTTAGGTGCTAACTTCTTTTGTTCTTTTTTTTGTAAAGCAAACTCCTGTTTTGCTAGAATAAAGAACGCCTCATTACATTTGTAGTTGTYGTACTTTATTTTTAACTTTACTTCTCACTGTGAGCAGATATATATGACTATATCCATCTTTTTAGGTAGAAAGACTAACAGTGAGATGAATCGCCTTCATGTGTTTAGATCAACGCRGAGTGTTTTTGAGAAACTGGTTGTTTAGGAACAAGAAATGGAAGAGGATTTTTTTTGAATGTTTAAGTGTATCTGGGGTAGTTGCAAAATGATTCAAAGAAGTGTAAGCTCTGTGTCTCTGCTTTGTTTTTATTTAAGCAGAAATCCAGTGTGCCTCGCAAGATTCCTTACAGTTGCACCTCAACAGGTGGGAAGAGTTAAAGAAGAACCAAATTCAGAAATTCAGAGCAGACGGGCATGGCAGTTTGACTGGGCATTAAATAAATTGGATACCTCTGTCAGAAAAACTGGCCGCATCCCTAAAACACTCCTATTAAAAATCTTCCATGAAATATGCAGGGCAGGTAAGCTGCTTTTAATTCAAACACATTCATTAAAGCCAAAAGAATAAAAAGATTTTAGTTTATATTAATATTGTCTTTTAGATGTTCTTTAACCTAGTGCATGCATTGGTGACCAGACTTTAAATGTTTTAGAGAAGTTATTGACTTGCTTTGTATGGATTTTTATGCTAAAACTTACACTTCTTGCTGAATATTAACTTTCATATGTTGCATACAGCCTGTACTGTGAACTCATCAGGGATCTCTATTTTATACAGCCTATTTTAAAAATGTAAGTTATTGTAAGCTTGTATATGCTGCTGTGGTGCTGTCCTTAAGGTATCACTTGTTTTTAAAACAGAGCTCCATAGGGGAACGTGGAGCTGATACCAAGTTCCCAGATGCTCAGATAGTTGTGGATATTTAGCATCTTTTTTTTTTTTTTTTGATAGAAAGATAATAAATAGCTGAAGCATTGTTCATTCTGGAAGATTCAATACTCCTTTGACAAAAAATATCCAGAATAATCTTTTATAAACTGTACTGCAGTTGATGATGATATTTGGTACTGGTTAGGTCAAAAGACGAGAYGGTGGCAATAGTTGATAAATGGGAGTTTTGACATTAGTAATTTTTGATAGTATACTGAGAATTGAGTGTCTGTTATTTTGTTTTAATTAAAAGCTTGGAGTACTTCTCTGGACAGTATTATATATTGGMTTATATAGCTGGATTTAAGCTTTTACAGTTTAGTGTTTAAAAGCCGAGTCTTTAATTCTTGGTCTCTTTCTGTTGAGCTGCTTTAGTTTTGACTTTTTGCTTGTGATCTCTTTTCTGATTCTGACTGCTTTTTAGACTATAATTTGTGAGTGTGGGTAGGCAAAGGTTTTATGTCTCTGTGCTTACCTTCAAAACACAATTCTTTGTGATCTGTGATTAGTTACACAGTTTTTAGGGACTCATTCTAGCAAAGAGATAATTACTCATAGTGATTTCATTTGGCCAAGTAAGTGTATTTCAAGCCAGAGGGTTTTTTTAGGCTAAAAAAAAAAAAGTGTAACATTTCTCAAAGGATTTAAGTAGGTTGCCATTTGAATAAATGACTAATATTTCCATTTTAAAATCTCACTCATTTATATTTCTAATAGCAACATTAGAAATTAACTAAGCAAAAGTGTGGGAGGTTGCGGTTGATTTCTGAAAAGGGTTTGTGTGTGTTTATAACCGTCTTCAGCTTCTAGTACAGTAAAAMAAATGGTGATTGATGCAGCTGTCTTGTGCTCTGCATTCCCGTACTGTTATTCCTGACATTTTTTTCCTTATTCTTTTGACTTTCAACATATGCAGTCGTTAGTGAAAATATTATCAAATATTTGTCTAATTTTAAGCCTTGTATAACTTTCTGCCGCTGAGCAGATTTTTTGGGGGTGATTTTTCTGCTTTCAAACAATTTTTGTTTTATTTTGCCTTTATTTTGTAATCATATAAGTCCTTCCATAATGCTGTATAATTAATTGCAAATTAAGCTACTGTGGCACCCTCTGCAATATGTAAATTTTCAGTTGCAGTTATCAGCAGCTGGAGATGCCTTTCTTGGCAGCAGCTTCTGTCTCTGTGTTGGGCTCTGTGCAGCTTTGGTGTGGTGGTGTGGCAGTTTGAAATCACTTGCCAAACATTTCTAATGGTGTGGACTGGAAGTCCTTTGGGAAGTCATTCAAGGCTCAGCATCTCTGGCAGCCCCGCTGTGCTTTGCCTCTGGAGCAGGAGGGCTGCCCAAGGCTGACAGCCAGCTTTAAGGTAATTTTTGGAGTCCCTGGTTGGACTGGCCCTGTGAAATTGGAGCAAGTTGACYTTTCTTTAGATTCTCTCCCTATTCTTTAGGCAAAAGTTGTCTCGTTTATTTGAACTTGCCTGTTGGTGGAAGCTAGAATAGCTGCTGATAGTGGAAACTTGTGCTGAACCTCTCTGAGTAGCAGTTCTGCAGCAGAGTGATACTGGTGTTAAGCACTGTGCAGTTTCAGAAATTGGTCYAAAGGTTATATATCTTTTCCAATAAATCTTTATAGATCTTAGATTGGGAAATTTTGAGTTCTAGACCATCTGAGTATAAGATTTGCTGTGCTGCTTTTTTGAATTTCTCCTCATCTCACCTCAGTGCTCTACTAAATGTTGTATTTTGTCCAGAATCATTTTCAGCATATAGCAGTGTCATTGCTTAATCTTTACAGTAATATTTTTGAATTTCAAATAAGATCCTTCTATATAGGAAAAGTGTATGTATCTCAATATGTCTSAAATTTTATTTTTTTCTACTAATTTTAAACGTGTACTGTATGAAGAAATTCAGACATGAACTTTTTCCTTTCATCTTTTACGTCAGTTCCTAATAATAGTCAAGTTTTCATTCTAAAAGAAGCGTTCAGATATTCATACTGTTGTACAGTTCATCCTGTTTGCCAGTAGACTTGCTTTTTAGCTTTAGACTTGAATGGTCTCACCTCRTGAACAAAAACTGGAGGTTAACAGCAGTTTCAGCAATAGCGGAATAATATAATGGCAGGTTGAATAGGCTGCAAGCTTAGCAGGGCTATAGGACTGCTTCTTTTGGAGTGAATTTTAAGCTTATGGAATTTAAAGCTTATTTAGGGGTCTGCCTTAACCCTCTTGAAAAACCAAGGCCTTTGTCAGGAAGCATCCTGCCTGTTCTAGGTGTAATCCTGATCTGACATCAGCACCGCCAGAAGTCGCTGTGTACATGCGAGTTCAGTATGGGGTGGTGCAAATTTGGCTCCTTTGAAAAGGCTGCTGCTGTGGCTCTTCTGTTGTGTGGTTCTTTTTGGCTGGAAATAAAAACAGAAACCAATTTACTACMCAAGAGCTACAAAAAGAATTAAAAAAAAAAAAGAAAAATGAATTTAGGTACATCATTCAAAAGGATGAGTGCCCAGAAGTGTATGTGATTACTTGCAGAAGTTACCATAGGAACCTAAAAGCCCTAAATTTAGGCAGTAATATTCCATAAAGATATTTTAAATAATTGGTGTAATATTACCTTTGACTAAACCGTAGAGGCAAAATGCATGTATTTTAATCATTTAAAAATATAGTTCCCAGTGGTATTTATATCTGACAGACTTGTTCCATCTATGTATGTATGTGTTTATTTAGGTGACTCTTTCTGGTTAACCTTAGATCTTTTAACAAAACTATTTATTTTTACTGCAGGATCCCCAGGGAGTAACCAGGCCTTGCTTCTGTTGCGAAGTTGTGGTGCTCTGTTACCAGAGGTGGTGTCATCTGAGAGAACAGAGCTTGCCCATATGATATGGGACAAAATGAAGGCGCTGGGTAGGACTCCTTCTTACTCCCTCACGAAGGAGCAGCCACATGCTTTAGTACTGCAGCTTGCTCTCTTGGTAGCACAGGACTGAAGGCAGTTTAATGGTGTTTAAATGTTAGGTTATCATGGTAAATATTCATTAACAACTGAATATTAGGTTTTGTCACTGCAATGAGAAATCTGTTTCTTATTCTGGGAGCTATACTGACATCTAGGGGTGTTTATTAACAATTTCCACCCCGCTTTTTCTCCCTCCTCAATGCTTAATCAGCCTCCTGCTTGCTTTTGATTATTGTGAGAACATATTTCATTTCTCAATTAGATCTTGACCACTTGCCATGGTATYTGCTGACCTGAGTATTCCTAGTGCTGCTGACTTTTATTAGATGATGATTTTTATTTCACATTAGTCATTTATCTATAAATGCGTCACAGAAGAATTGCTTCTTGAGCTTAATGTTGCTAAATCTGCAAAAGAAGTGGCAGACTTCAGAATGGAGTGTATGCAAGYAAAAATATTCCTGTGCTCTTGATATGTAGTCTTTTAAAAGCAAATGTGCATTGTTTAGTGTTGCAAAGGTGAATAAAAGAAAGCAACCTGATCCTACATAAAGTTGGAACAAAATAAAATTGATATGAAATTAACTAGCTGGAATAGCTATAAATCAGATATATAGTTTGAGAGTCTACACGCGTTTGATTGTCTGAAATATTTCTTTAGGTACTGTGTATGATACAAGCCATTACAATGCTTTACTTAAAGTCTACCTTCAGAATGAGCATAAGTTCTCTCCAACCGAATTTTTGGCCAGAATGGAAGAAGCAAATGTGCAGCCCAATCGAGTAGGTAGCCTCTGATGATACCATCTTTCCTAACAGCAGTATCSTTTCCTGGATAGAAATCATTAACCTCCTCTTTATTTTCTGCAGGTTACTTACCAGAGGTTGATTGCTGCTTATTGYAATGAGGGTGACATTGAAGGAGCCAGGTATTCCTTTGCAGTTATGTGTAAATACATTAAGAAATCTGTTTGGCAGATTTCCTGACATTCATGTTCAAATTTGTGTTCAGGTGATCCTTTCAAGTATTTCATGAGCAAAGCAGAGGGGATTAAGTATATTTTAATCAAACGTTGAATAGTAGTTTTTTAGATCTAATTGAAGCCTACCCAAACAAAATAAAAATGTGTGGACCAATCCATTTAAATCCAATTGTCTCRTAAGTTACTCTGAAAATAAGTTGTTCTGTCATTCTCAGGGCCAGTGAAAAAATATGARTCTATGAAACATGAAATGTTTAAAAAATGACTATTGGGAAAGACAAATATTTATTTGAGGACAGAGTAGACTAAGCATTTTTTTCTTATTGTTGTTACACAGATTGCCAGGATAGACGCATAATTTTAGCTCTATTAATTTTAGAACAGTTTCCTTTTAAGGTAAAGCAGTGTGATTGCTGAGCATTGAAAAATAAAGATAAATCCTCATGTCTGTGTATATTAAGTGAGAAATATAATTCATCATAAAAATGAAATAGTATTATGAGCATGTTATACAACATCCTAAAATACAATTGCTTCATGAAATAATTACCTGCACCTGTTTGATGCAGTASTTGTCCAGCAGCACAGAAATTACTCACGACTTTATCTTTTCAAATAATAAAAATTCTCATCATCATATTTTTTTTTCAGTAAGATTCTTGGATATATGAAGAATAAAGATCTCCCAATCACTGAGGCGGTATTCAGTAGCCTTGTGAAAGGTCATGCAAGAGCAGGGTAATGTCAATACAGTTTTCTTTGTTTTTATTTTCTGCAATATATATTGATATTGAACAGAAAACTTAAAAGCTGCAAAACTGGGAGTAATGTAATGGTTTTGAAAAATAATGTATAAAACGTATATATGCATTTTGTGACTTTGAAAAATAATATATGAAAGACATGCATTTTGAGGCAAAACAAATATTTAAGAAAAGTAGAGAATTCTTGTATTCAAAAAGATTGAATTTCAAGATAATTGTATTTTTATACAATTTAAAAATATTGTATTTTAGTATTGACATTTTTTTCGATTGCTGAAGTAAGCATTTTAAATAATAGGATAAACAAAATATTTGCACTGTTACCTTTATTTAATTAAAATAGGTTTGTTTATGCTTGTTATATTCTTAAAACTGGTTTTGTTAATTTTGTTCTATTTATTTCATTATGAATTAAATGAGGAAATATGCAAGTTGCAATAAATACCATGGTTAAATTGATTGAGATTCTTTCTTTTCAATGCTTTTAGAGATATGAAGAGTGCAGAAAATATCCTGTCAGTCATGAGGGTGGCTGGTGTTGAGCCTGGCCCAGACACCTATTTATCATTGCTGAACGTATATGCTGAAAAGGGTGATGCTGACAGCATCAAAAAGGTATTTTGAAGTTTGAGTTTAAATATATTTGGGGTTGTATTTTATTCAGTTTTAACTCTGGAATACATTTCATCTGTGGGGGATTAGTAGTATATTTTAGAACACGTTTGCTCACAGTAGCAAATTTTTTTTTTTATTTGTGTCTGAGTAGTTGTTTAACTAAAACCACTTTTTTTTTACTCTATTTAAAAACAGATAGTTTTCTTTTGGTAGCTGCCTTTTACTCTTTGAAGTTATGGTGAATGGTGTTCACTAGTGAGTTGTTCAAGAGACAAACTGTATGATGGATGTATAAAGTTAAATGTACCTGCTCCCTTCAATGCCATTGAATCTGTTCCATTTGAAATATTCAAAAACTGATTTTTTTGTAGGAGTTACAGAACAAACATAGAAGCGAATTTAGGTGTTCACAAAGCTTATGGAGGATAATGCTGCTTTGGAGGCTGGCTTGCTGAGTACTCATCTGCAAAGCAGGMCTTTGTTTAGTTAAAGTTTTGGCAAGGAAACAGTAGAGAAAATTGTTTTGAATTTAATGAGCAATATAAAATGGAAGGATCAACTCAGAAGATTGTGGGAAACGATGTATTTCTGTGGCTCACAAATTAAGCAAATCTTCCTCAACCACCCTCCTTCCAGGCAAAAAGAAAAAGTTTGACTAATTGCGATCTTTTTCATAGAAATTTTTTGGAAATTATACGTCTAATATATTCACATAAAATTAGAGATATTGGTTATCACTTTATTAGTCCTTTTTCCTTTTAAAATTTAGAGATATTTAAGACTCTTTCCATGATTGGTTTGCTCTTCACCATCTTCTTTGTGTCTAAAGCCAGTGAAAAGAAAAAAAAAAAAACCAACTTGTGAACATTTTTCTTTTAACATATCAGGTTTTCGGTCAGCATAAAGCTTATTAAAGTTAACACTTATTCTCACTTCCAGACTCTAGAAGAGGTTGAGAAGACAGAAGGGTATCTTATGGATAGGGTTTTGATGCAGGTTATTTTAAGCCTTGCCAAGGCTGGATATCCTCAGTATATCGAAGACATTAAAGAGCGTATCAAATTTGAAAGAGATTTAATTCCAGGTATGTTGCCAAGGTTTTCCATGGAAATACTACTAATRGGTTTAGAGAGCATGCACTTTCAGTTCATAGCTACAGTAAGTAATATTTCCAAAAACAGTTGCTTTTTATTGGATATTTAAAGTAACTTTTTTATTTTTGCTTTTTATTAAGTAATTTAAAGTAACATTTTTTATCTTTGCTTTTTATTGAAYATTTAAAGTAATTTTTTTATCTTATCTATGAAGTCATTAGTTCTGCATTTTTATAGACTTTTTAAAATATTAAAAAMCACTCTTAATTTGAATACAAAATTAATGGATCATTTTTTCCCTATAAAATTTGTGAAATCTTTACACGAAAGTTGTGAAATTTGAGTCCTTTCTGCAGGTAACAGTAGCAGAACTTCTGTTAGAACAGCTGTTCATGAATTTAACAGAAAAGTAGATTGTAAATACTGAATATAACTTTAAAGTAAAAGTCAGTTTTTGATCCTAGTGTGTTTAGTCAGTTTGATAAGTGTTGAAAATCTTCACCTCATTTTTCCCCTCTTTTAACATGTTTAGAAATGCTTCTCCTATCTCATACCTTTCTATGCTACAGTGTGATGCTTGTACAAATTTTGGCATGACGTTTTTAGTGGCAGAAGTGAATTCCATTGAAAACATAATACTGAAAAAGGTAGTCTTAAATTTGATTATGATTATTGATTATTTGACTGATATAAAAGTATGTCAATGATAGTTTTAAAATGTATTTGCTTTCTTTAGTGGCTCAATGCTAGAATAGTTAATCACACTTTATTTTTTTCTGATTTCCTGTTTCTAGATGTAATGAACCTGTGTTTGACTTTGATAACTCAAGGCTTCGAAGATATAAGTTTCCGTATTTTGAAGTCTCTTCATCATTTATCACGTGATAATCTGGACCAGGGTAGCTTCTTCTTACAACACTGTGTAAATAAAGATATGGTATGCATCACAGTAATTCTTATGTCTTAAGTATACTTATAGCAGTATATTTATTAGTTAAGTAGTAGTAGCTATTTATATTTATTTATCATGTAATATGACTCTGAAGACTAAAAGCAGTAGATACGTAGTTAATAAAAGCAGATTGGTTTTAATATTTCATATCAACTGTACATAATAAGATTAAATTWACAAGAGTATATCTTTGGTGTCCATTAATGTTTGCCATGCATAATATCCATTTTTTAACACTCGAAGAATCTGACATTCCTAAAACAAACAAAAAAATTGAAAAGTATATTAAAATAATTTTTCAAATTCTTTGCAGCCTATAAGCAAGCTGAAACATTACTGTAACGAGTTAAAAGAAGCAAAAATGCACTCAGCACCTTTACCATTTATTTTGCGTTGTGCTTTGGAGACCAAGAGAGCAGGTACTCTGCTTATTTAGTTATTTAACACATTTGTTTGATGTGCTTGGTCACTGTTTAATTATTTTATCAATGTTTTTAGATATGGCCATTGACGTGATGAAGATCATGAAAGAGGAAGGCCTTCCAGTCAGACCTCACTATTCCTGGCCACTGCTTGTTGCATACCACAAAGAGAAGAATCTTCAAGGTTAGCCCTCAGATATGTGTGCAGGTTGCTCTTACTGCCTTCCAGTTGCTCTTTATCCTGTACAGGATTTACTCTTGACAAAATTGAAGTTTGAGAGAAGCATTTGAAATTAAGGTTATGTTACAACAACTTTTTTGAAGTGCAGAATTATATATATGTATGCATTTTATATATATATATATATATATATATATATACACACACACACACACATACATATTTTTAAACCAGCTTCTTATATCTCCCCTCATAAGTCAAATGTGAATTTAGTTAAAAGAATGAAAACTGCAGGAGAACTTTACGTTGCTCAGTCTGTGAGCCTGACCTGACAGCCTACTGATTGAAGGACAGAAATGCTCAATCTTTAGGATTCTTAAGTAGGCTTAAGCATTTAACATACTTTCCCTGTTACACATGGGGCTGTCTACGGGATATGAATAAGAATTGAACAAATATTAAATTTTAGAGTACAGTATCTAGTTCTTTGGTTTGCGTTATTGGTAATTCAGAAAGAATGGTATCGTAAAAAGATGCTTTTAACAGAAGTACTTCCCCCTTGGGGAAACAAAAAACTGTCTTTTTCATCTTATCTCACAGTATAATGTGCTTTAGAATGAGATGCAGAGTTGTTAGTGTGACATTGGGTGACAAACAAAATGCACAAACAAAAAAAAAAGTGCTTTTAGCAGACTCTTCATATCGCAATTTTATCTTAAATATACAGTCATATTCCAGTTTGGAAGAAATGCTGAAACAAGTATTCCCTAATTGTTTCTGGCTATAAAAATGTCTCAAGCCTTTTCAAAAAGCCTTTGTGAAAACAATATTCAGGTTTTTATTAACTCCTTAGGCTCTGTTTCTGCTAGAGCGCTTCCCAAGTTGATCTTCTCCGAGGTTTTCAGAATCTCCAAAGTTCAATGATCTTTTCTAACACTGTAGAAACATAGTTTCAGTTGTGTCACATTTGTAACTAATGTTTATCTCCACTTGAAAAACATTGTAGCCAAAAGTAAGTGAATGGAAATGTTTCATAATTTTTGTATACGTAGACACTGCCTACTAAAATGCTTCTTGTTACTACAAGTAGCACTTCACCTTTGTAACACTAGCATTGGAAATGTTGGAAGTATTAATAGTTTTAGCCTTAGGTCCCAAGACTAAAGGTATATCTGCTTGTTGAGGAAAACCTACGCTTCAGATCTCTTGATTTTTGGAGAAGAAAGAGGTTGACTCCTTGGTGAGTGTGGACTCTTGCTATAGAAACCAGCTGTGCTTTGGCTAACAGTTTCTGCTCACAGCCATGTAAGAAATTTGGGAAGAAAACTAGCAAAGAAGCCCTTAGCCGCTTTAGCTTTCTTTACCATATTCTAAGAAAGCATTTCTTTTCCTATCTACCAAAGGAAAGGATTCTACCAAAGGAATTCTGCATCAGATGCAGAATTTTCTGTATGGCTGTATGTAAGTATTGTGGATTTGCAAGTATGTTTTTGTGACCTGGTACTTAGTCTTTCAGTCTGAATTTTCAAGTGTGAAAGTTAGTGGTACCTATACCTAGAAAGATCAGTAAACTTGCAGCTCTTAAAACAGAGGAGAGAAGCTTTCTGTGTGCTTTGTTCTGTAGTGAAAAATCAGTTTAATTGCTTTGCCGTGTTCTTAACCATGCGTAAGCTCCCTTGCATTCATTTTTTAAAATTGAACAAATAATAAAATTAATAAAATGAGATCCACTGTCTAAAAATACAAGTAATGCATCTGAAGGAAAGTAAATGGGAAAAAAAATCCTGGAATGATTTAATAGAAATAATAAAGAGTTATGCAGTAATGAGAACCTAAAAGTGACAGTAGAAAATCTATTAGAAAATGGTGCTTTAGAGCAGTAAAAAAATTGTAGTATAGATAGACACTGTATCATGTCTCCTAACAAAAAGGAGGTGATAATTGCTTTTTCCCCTAAGTATTCCCTTACTTAGGGGAAAAGTGTGCTTAGGTATAGGGACGCCTGAATGTGGTCGGGGGAAACTTGGGGTAAAACCTAAATTGCTGAACAGCTGATATTACATAAATAATGAGCTAAATAATCATTATGGGACTATAAAAAATATATAAGACAATAAAAATATATATAGGACAATAAAAATATATAGGCAACTACCTATCCAGAGCTGAGAGGAAAAATGCCTGAWTCAATAATTGTAATGTGGCCCAAGTCATTGTATAACTAGTAGCAATGCTAATTACATTAGGGAAGCTGACGCTGGATATCTAAGAAAACTATTGAACTTYTGTATCTTGCAGTTGAGTCAGAAAGAAAAGCAATAAAGTGGAAGSTAGGACACATAAAACAAAGCAAGGCAGTTGCTTAAGTGTGCCATGGAGAACTCTGCCTCTGCGAGACAGTGACGGCTGTTTTCTGTCACTTAGTGCAAGGAAATAATTTTAGATAGGGTGTGCTTTAATGTATCTCTGTGCTAAATAAGTGGATAGCACTTATTATATGCACCAGATATTATATAGCACCAAATAAATGATGTTAACCCCTTCAAGCATTTTCTAGAAGTCTAGAAGATCAGTATGTGGTAGATCTGAAAAGGTTGTTGGCGCTGGGATTCATCTTGTTTCAGATTATACAGTGCAACCAAGGAGGGCTGTTAGCTAAGCAGAAGTTCCTGACTTATGTTGGCAGTAAGACATAGTGTAATCACCCTCCATATAATCACTTTACTTGTTTTTAGAGGAAGTTGTACAAAATCAGAGGKTTTTTTTCCATTTATATATTCCAGTAAATTGTTGTAGTTATATGCTCAAGGCTCCATTAGTGACTGTTGATTCAATTTTTACTTTACCCCTTGTTGGACAAAAAGATGAATAAAAGTGTGCAAGTCCRTTGAGGGGAGGAAGGATAGTGAATTCCCCAAATAATCACTTGAAATATTGCTTTGTAGAAAGAGTTTCAGCAAATAAGCTTTCTGAGGACATCTGAAATTAACAGTACTGCAAAAATAGTTGTGATACTGTGCTGTCATCTTCAGTGTAATCTCACTTTTCCTACTGGAGATATTTTCAATACACAGAAGCACAAAATCAATATGTTGGGGCCTTTGCACATGTTGAGCTGTATTTTACTGCGTTAGAAATTCCACCTGTTCTTGTGGCATCAGTTGAGGAAGAAGATAGTACTTGCTGTGGAAAAACAGGAATTACAGTGGACTGAGCTACAAGCCTCAATTTTCACCCTTGAGAGGCAGCAGGTTTCTCAGATCATCTTGTAATTCGTTGCTTCCGTATTTCTTCTTGGATATACTGATTTGAAGCAGGAAGGTTACTTTCTGCCTGTTTCTTTTGGGGTGTTTTGTGCTGTTTCTAGTGAGGACAAAAAGGAGGACAGAAATATTTGTCTTATGGTCCCTCCTTCAGTCGTCTTTTCACTCAGTTACTTGATTTTGGGTACCCAGGTCCTGCAGTCCTTACATATCTCAACCCAAAATAGCAGAAAACAGTTCTTGGTCAAGAAGGGAAGATAAGTCATATGGGTGTATTGAAGATAAAATCTCTGTAGAGTTTCTGAGCATTTTCTGCAATGAGGGAATATACTAAAACTTTGATGTGGATGCTGCATTTTATTACTTTACTAATATTTTTGGTTTTTTCACTCCAAAGACAGAAAAATACTAGAATTATATATAACTCCAGGATATAGACAAATTTAAATATTGTTTTTAAAAAGTTCAAATTGAGGCAGACTTTTTGAGTGAGCTATCAGATAGACTAGAGACACCAATTCTTAGTAAAAGAACAAAGAATTACATCTCTCTGCAGAGGAGAGAAAAGAGAGAGAATTACTAATTCTTTATTGAAGAATTCTTTATTTGTTATCTCCTTGTTCCTGTTAGGTGGTACGATTGCAATTGT